TCGTTTTTGTTTATGGTTGAGTATGTCAAGATGGACAGCATAGTGTTTGTTTTAGCCCATTCACGTAGCAAAATTATCCTCGCATGCACTGATCAGCTAACGATCATTCTATGCCCGACTGATCAGCTGACGACGATCGTATGACTGCCTGATCAGTTGACGATCATCCTATGGCCGTTTGATCAGCTGACGATCATCCTATGACCGCCTGATCAGCTGACGATCTTCCCATAGCCGCCTGATCAGCTGACGATCATGTTATGGCCGCCGTACTAAGCTACGTTTTGCCGCTTCACAGACATGAGATCAAGACGGGTGCTACTCTTCACAGCATGTGTGCTTCTTGCTGTCTGCTGCAACGGAGTTCCCCAATCCGCAATGAGAAGCACACGACAGGGTAAGAGATTTGTGTACTCGCTGAGAAGTTTTAATAACCCACGAGTCAGCGAAGTACTTAAAACTATGAGAGGTTAGCTTTGCTTTGGTAACAAGCGCAGGGAGTAAGTTAGCTTGCAGTTGAGAGTGCGTTGTAGGAACTTCAAACTCTGATAGCTATTGTCAGTTGGACAGCCTATTTTGTCTTGCAACTGGTCACTGACCTGTAGCGACCTGACCTGACCTGTAGCAGATCAAACTTAGAAGCTATGCTTGCCAGCGGACATTTACTGTAGCAGTTTTTAACCTAACTCTGCAATCAAGTTTGAGAAGTCATATAACTTTGAGATGCTGTTTAGTCATGTATGCATCTGAAATTACGATTACAAAAAGTCTATCGGTCATGGTTCAGTTATGAATGTAAAAGCTAGATAAAACGCTTTTTGAATTCCGTGATCACTCAGAGGTTGAAAGGCCTCTTATATCGACTTTTTGAAAGCCAGTGGGAGTCACGGACAAAAAAAAAATGACCTTTAGCAACGTTTTGTAGTGCAAAAATGATGTGGCATGCGGCATTTGGGCTTCACGACGCGCTCAGCTATTGAGGCTATGTAGCGTCACCTGTCTCTCACTCTGAAAGGGGGGGGGGGGGCGGGAGCCACGGGAATACATCTCTCGTTCTCTGGTTTCCAAGAGGCACAGCTTAGCCACTAAACTACCGGTACCCGCTTTGAAGAAGTTATTACATAGGATAGTTCTCGAGTTGTTGCTGTTGAACTCTTTCATGTTAATCCAAGTATCAAAATGATCTCGGAGCATTTATGTCATATTTATCCTTAAAGGTCTAATGAGATTGCCGACCTCACATGGCACCGAGTGAACTTTTCCTTGAATTTGTTATCCAGATTTAGAGTTGGTTGCGTGGGAGGTCTAAGGCCGATTTAGACACTGAGCCCGGATCAGCCTTGTTTGACCTGAGAATACCCGAAGGCTATGACCTAGATATATCAGAATTACACACAAACGAGATTACGTAGAGTTATACCCACCTTTGATGTGGCGACTCCAGCTTAGTTCCTTTTTATATCGCAGGATGTCAAATCCCCCCTCCCACAAGCAAGGGCGTCGTATTCAACCGACCACCCAGGCACGCGTTAAATGTGCTCCTGGTCGGCTTCCTGAGAGCTGGACATGAAAGGGTCTCTCTTGACCCCCACCAACTCAAAAGCTGTCCCACGAATCGGCACGCAACTAGCCGCAAACAAATGTTCTCAATTTATTTCACGAATCTTCAACCTTGAAACCGAATAAATATTTTTTACGGGTGCAGAGTCGACAAGCAAATAGTTGGAGGCCTGGTTCTGATGCTGAGCAATCCATCTTATTCAGTGCTGACCACGAATATAGTAGGTATATTACGGGGTTCGATTCCCCGCGGTGCTCGCCCTTCCTGCTAGGGTGAGGCAGGCGACGCCATATAGCCTCAGCAGCTGAGTGCGTCTTAAAGCCCCAATGACACATAGTAGGTATATTACAGTGCAAGTGCCTAAAAAACGACCCCCAAATTGCAGCATATATTTTGGTTCATAATGCTATTCACACAACAAACAATTGTTATAAGTGCAAATCCCTTCCTTCACGAGGAAAGACATTTGCCTTTAAACCCGTACAAACAGAACTTGTTATCAAGTTTTAAGGCGTAACATTAAACAGCTTAGAAACCACGCCAGGAAACCATGAAGAGAAAGCTGATTTATTTTACTTCACTTTGCATTTATTACAGTTTGCTCGTAGAAATGAGGGTGACAATGGCTGTTGCATCGTTGTTGCAAGTGCTAGATTTATCCATTTATTTCAATAACAATATACCGCATCAGTCATAACACGACTGTCTTGCACAGCTATAGCATAATCTCCATGTTCTCCTCTTCTTCCACCAGCCCATACCAGCTAAGGACGGGTTGCTGCTGGTTTTCCTATAAAAAATTTGTGTCGGGCTCAAAATGATCACTCAGTCAATACAACTAATGCGTATAATGCACGAGTTTTCCACTTTCAAGCGCCCCCGTTAAAATCTGACGTTATTTTTCCGCTCGCTTCCAGAGCGCGCCAGAGGCCGCGCGAGTGACATCACGACGTCTCCGTCCAACAGCACCGGCCGCGCCGCCGAACCGGCGGCGGGGAGCCGGGCGGGCCAGTCGCGCGGCCTCTTCAAGGAGCTGGTGAAGGGGGCGCTGGTGCTGGCCGGCAACCGCGTGCTGGGCGAGCAGGTGACCAGCGCGCTACGGCCGCTGGCCCGGCCCATCGTGGATCGCCTGCTGCCCGAGGATGGCCTGGGGGGCCTCGGCGGCCCCAGCGCGCCCCTGCCCGACTCATTCGGCCAGTCCGGGCAGTCCGGGCAGGCGGAGCCGAGCGGGCAGGCCGGACAGAGCCAGCAGCTCGACCAGACGACGACCATCAGTCGGCCGGCACAGCAGGTGAAGCCCGAGGAGGACCTGAACACGTGCACCACACCGCAGCTGGGCGCGGGCGTTTGCCGTGACCTGGGCACATGCCCGCAGCTGCTGTTCGACCTCACCAACCTGCGCAGCAGCATCTGCTTCCAGTCGCTCTTTGTGCCCGGCGTCTGCTGCCCAGAGTGAGTTGACGACTGCACCTGGCAGCGGTGACACAGGTGCGGGACGTCTTGGGTAATGTAGGCGATGTTTGCAGACACTATGGATGCCGTGTGCAGAAATGCAACCACCATTACCGGCTTAGGTGTGGAGCTTTGATGTCACGTGTGGTTACGTGCTGCCCACTAGCAATGCATTTTCACTAAGGAACCTTCGCTTGCTGTGTGGACCACTGACGTGCGCATCCTTTTCAATCTGGACTACTGCGCTCCCTTGGTACGTGGTGCAGTGGCACCTTTCGCTCGATTCGCAACCCACTCACCTAACAACCGTTCTCGCAGCACGGGGGGCTCCGGCTCCTCTTCCAGCTCTGTCAGCGCTCTTCCCGACTTTGGCCCACCGCCTCGGCCACAGCCTCAGCCGCTCCCCACGCGCCGGCCGGTCGCCAGCCGACCCCCCTTCCATGGGGGCCTGGGCGCGCCTCTGCCGGCGACCGCGACGCGTCCTCGGCCAACTGCCGTCACGCGGCCGTCAGTGCCGTCTCGACCAATCAACGGTCGACCACCGCCAATCACAGCCCACAACCGATTTCGTAAGTCGATCGGAAATCGGTGCTCACTTCTTAAACCTTTGCGCCATGTTTTTACTTGCTTATATATCAAATATGTATATATAATATCAAATAAATATATTTTAAAAATGCTTGTCCGTCCCGGTGGCTCAGTTGGTTAAAGCGTCTGTCTTCTGATCCATCCACCCGTGGCGGGGTGTGTTCGAATCGCTTCAGGGCGCCCGCTATTTGCCCTTGACAGGTATGGCCTGCGGCCGGTAGCAGCGGTCGCACTGAAGGTCAGTTGACGTCAGAAGGCAGGGCGGACCGTGCCGAGCATTGCGGCACGTTAAGCATTCACCACCAAATTCTGCCGTTGACATGCAATTGCGCGATCGGATGGTAGGGGGTCAGGGCTCACATGACAAGCACTGCTTAGCGTGAGCTCTGATCCTGGAAATCCATCCATTCAAAGGGTTCGGATGAAAACTTTTAAAAAATCGTTATATTACCCTGACATTAAAACCGCTATGCAGTAACTGACGGCATCCTGCAATGTATGGAGCCACGGCTTATAGTTGTTCAAGTAAGGAATATGACTGTGGGTAATGGCCATGCGTAGATACCACAGCGAACGCTCAACTGAACCATCCCAAACACGCCTGCAGTAACTTCAAAACAGTCTGCTCTGATTCATCAGGCCAGAAAGCACGCTGTGCTTCATAATCTCGGCGCTCCTTACCAGACCTTGAGACACCTGGTTTTTGCGGTGCCTTCCCCGTCGGTAGCAGGTTCTTGAGGAAAGCCACGCTGCTGACAGATGTTTGTGCATCGCAAAGTTTTGCTTCTTGCTAAGATATAGACAAGCTATGGAGCCTGACGCTAAGTACGGGCGGCATGTCCGGTTCTAAGTTGCATCGAATTTCACCTCTCTAACAATTTTTCCCTTTTCGCCTTACAGCTTTCTAACAATAATCTGGTTTCAAAGCAAAGCATGTCAGCGTGATTTTTTCAACGCTCACCGATGCACTTTTCTCAAAGGATGTAATCACCTTGTCTGCTTTGCCGACCCCATGCTGGATGCGTCGCTGCAACGCCTTTTTTAACGTGCCTGTGCAGGCGACCGGTTTCCTCACAAGGGCTATGGAAAACATGCAAGAGGCTCTCCATGTACACATTGGCAACCCATAGTAGCGTCACGAGCACGGCTAGTTCTACCTCATGGTCCGAATCCCAGCTGTCGTTTTCATCCCCTGCCGAATCGCGTGGCGCGCGTGCTTCACGAAACCACCGCGGTGCTTCCGAACGGAATCCTGGCCAAGGAGGTGCCCTCAGTGGGATTCTGGCCAAGGAGACGTCCTCAGTGGGATTCTGGTCAGAGTGCCACTCTGGGTGAAATTCTGGCCAATGAGTTATCCTTGGTGGGATTCTGGCCAATGAGTCATCTTCAGTGGGGTTCTGGCCAAGGAGCCGTCCTCGGTGGGATTCTAGCCAAGGAGCCGCCTTGGTAAAGCTCTGGCGATGAGTTATCCTCGGTGGGATTCTGGCAAATGTCGTCACTGGCTGGGGCCACACCGGACCGTCAGGGGAGGTGCTGGGAGCACACTGGACCGTCAAGGGAGGTGCTGGGGCCACACCGGACCGTCAGGGGAGGTGTTGGGACCACACCGGGTCATTAGTAGAGATGCCAGTCACACCGAACAAAAAATGACACAGATTCTCTCCAAGCATAGCCTCGACTTCCCGTAACTGTTGGATTGACGAATTGTATGTACCGCAAGGCTTTCTGACATTCATGGCCCTATGGGTCGTACACTACTCAATTAGTTTGTGCCCATAAATGGGCTAGCGATTTTTGACAGTTCAAGAGCCAGCGCATGGTTTTGAGTAAGTTTTCTCAAGAGCACGTCTTAAGCCAGCTGTATACAAAAAAGGCACTCAAAGAAGTTGTATCAACGGCGAAACGGAAAATAAGCCCCCATTATTCCTTTCCACAGTGGCACGATCTACTACATGTGCACTGCTGCAAATAAGTACGAACACACATAACGTATACTATTTGCGCAGTGAGCCCATGTATGCTGGGCTCTCATGGCGAGCGCGAATCAGCGCTCACCATGCGGGCAGGGATACATAACCACAATCACGTAGGAACTAAGACGTCTGTCAAGATCATCACGCCTATCGCGCCTGCATGATGACGAAAAAGTCACGGCACCGCAACGGAAACCACACTGTTCATCTGGTCGTAAATATTGACGGACGCTTTCTCTGAGGGCTGAGCACATCGCAGAGCAAGCACGTTTCGAAATGGTGCCGCGTTTCTGTCCCAACACACGGCTCAAGGACGCGCCACTAAGAACAATGTGTAACTTGCAACTTGCTTGTAACAACTTGTAACTTGCAACAACTTGTAACTTGCAACAAGCTACTGTGCGCCAAGCGCTTACATTTCCCCAAAGATGATGCATGAAATGTGCATTTTGTAACGCGCTCGTTGTGGTACCCCACATTGCGTGGATCTCAACCGTCATGTCAGCGTCATTGACTCCCTGTGGAATGTTTCAGGGTAGGGTTTCCAAGTGGCGAGCTTCATAACGTGCGATGCGACGCATGCCGTTTGAAAGCGGGGATTGTAAACATCGGGATTATCTTGCCGGAAGTATTAATGCTTAAGTTATGGGCACATGGTGAACGTGTTTGAAAACATGTTTGTAAGCTGAGGTGAAAGAGTGTCTTTTCTGTAGTCGACAGAATTTGGAACAGCCCAAATTATCGCCTGGAGCCAATTATATCAGAAACTGTTGCAAGATGACTACAACGCGAGACACCACATAAGGCAAAGATAAATGAAGTACAATGGCTCATAAACAGCATGCATATTTTCGTTTCGAAAGCTTCATTTGCACTAAAGCATCATATGCTGGCCATACCAAAAGTCCCGGCGGTTAGAACTCGAGTCTCAGTGCATGAGTGGCCGGCACAGCGTGTTCGAGACCGGTGAACACATCGGTTCGGTTCAAACCAAAGACGCCCCATGTACGGAGAAAGGCGAGAGCGTGTTTGGTCAGCGGCCATAACGGCCAGCGTATCACGTCCACAAATGGCACGTAACAAACCTCATGTACTGCCTCACGACATGCTGGGGCGTAGCAGACTGATCTGGTTCGTCGCAAGGTGCTGAGGCCAGCCATCTTTCTTTCGGCTAGTAATAAGCCTAGTTGTACGGTATTTTATGCTAAACAGCACAAACGATGCAAGTGGAGTGACTCTTGGCTGAAAATTTGTGAAAAATACTGATCTAAAAGGCATTGTAAAATCCCTATTACAACTGAGCTGTGACGTCAGCACTGATCTAAAATAGCTTGGAATAAAGTTCTGTCCCCTGCTAAAAATGTCCTTATTGAAACTTTTATCCTTGGAAGCATTTGTGGCTCGATTTGCTCTCACAGAAAAACGTCAATCTTTTGACAGGTGCTCTACACAAGCTCACGTTGCATGCGTTATGTAGTACAGACTAAAACTAAACTTTGAGTTTCGTCTAACTGGGATGGTCTATTGTATTTTGTCGCCATTTTTGAATTTGTTTCCAAAAAGCTCGTAAAAGTTTCCATTGTGTTGCCGATCGCGTCACGTAAATCGGTATTTTTTTTCGTCCCGGACCCAAAATCCACAACGCATGAATTGAAAAGCGCGCAAAATGTATTTTTGGTTCATGAAAATGGTCCGAAGAGTAGCAGAGGTGAAGTATGACAGCCATGTGTTTTTCTCACTTCTAAGATGAGCAAGGGAAACATCTCTGGAAGTCGTAAATGCCAGCGGGATGATGACAGATCATAACATGCGTTGCGGCACTAATTGCTCTTTTCCTTCAGTCTGGCCCTGCCAAACCTAATGTAAGCTGAAGTAAGCTTTATCAGCTCAGCTAAAACTAATGTAATCTGATCTACTTTGCCCCAAGTTAGATTCATCTCATAGCTGGTAATCCCAGGGTAGCGTACACCGACTCGACTGGGCCTGTTCTGACCTGACCTGACCCTGCCTGGCCTGTCCGACAGCGTGCGGCCAGCCGCAAGCGCCACTGTCCCGCGTGGTGGGCGGTGACGTGTCAAGGCCGGGCCAGTGGCCTTGGATGGCGGCCATCTACCTCAGCGGCAAAGGCAGACGCGAGTACTGGTGCGGCGGCTCGCTCATTTCTCGCCGCTACGTCATGACGGCGGCCCACTGCACCAAGGACTCCAGGGGCAAGAGGTGGGCCTCAGATGCCGCAGACAACTGCGAATGCACCATGCTTAGCTGAGCCAGGAGCCTGTCACCATCATGTCGATGGCGAGTTGTCTCCCCTTCAGAGACGTTGCGCTAATTTGCAAGAGATATGCGAGATGCGTTTCTCCATGTGATGTATGCTCTGCGTGTCTGCGGCGACGCAGGTCGAGTCGGTTGGTGATTGGGTGTTTGTTTTGGCTTCAGCTTTCACCCGAGGCAGTTCACGGTTCGCCTGGGGGATACCAACCTGAAATCGAGTGCGGAGGCGGCCCACACGGCCAGGTTCAGGGTCATCGAGTACGTCGCACACCCCGACTTCAAGGTACTGGTCGAGGACGGTTCTCACTCTCCAGCCACGTGTAGTTATCTCGAGCTGCCAGAATGCCACTCAACGAAGGCATTGAGCACAGTTTTACGACCCGTCATTTGGAAATAATCACTGTCACTGTTCTTTACCGAATTGATCTCTTGGTGTAAATAATAAACGTGTCAAGTTCCTGGTTTCTGGTTAGTATTAGGCTTCAGATCGTGTGTTTGTGCTCGAAACAAAGCTCGTGAAACTCATAGTTATCTATACACATGAAACAGCTATTATGAAAATAGAGCTTTGAAAGCAAACAACATTTTATGTGAGCACATCATTCGTCACCATGGGCGCTACTGCCAGCAAGTCGAGACTTGCATAATGTGGTGCATTATATTGATCTCTTCGCTCGAACAACACCCCTCATCCACGTGCATCTTGGTACACTAGTGTCGTGGTATACTGGGGGTCAGCTTTTTCAGTATCAGAACTAAAAATTGGCGCCGAGTCCCCAGCTCGCCGAGACAGCAGGCATTGCACCATCACGCAGTGCACCCCTTCCACTCCCAAACCTCCCCCTCTTCTCCCCAGCTTCCCCTCCAACACCGCTCTCTTCTCCGGCAGCTGAACGGCTACTACAACGACATCGCGCTGTTCAAGCTAGACCGACCGGTGAACTTCAACGAGTACGTGATCCCGGTGTGCCTGCCGGACGAGTACGAGGGTCGGCCCCTGGACGCGCTGGTCGGCCGCACCTCCAGCGTCATCGGCTGGGGCGTCACCTCTTACGGTACGGCAGCGACGATCGCTGGGCACGGGCAGCGCCGGAGACAGCCCGCCCGAGGAACACGTAGCACAGGATGGCCTGGGACAGAATGGTTCGAGTGGCCTTCCACTGAGATGGGATCTGTCGTGCTTCGACTGGTGAACTTTATAAATATGAGCAGTGACGTGGCTTTGGTTTATTACCATGGCATTCACCATGATTTACCTTTAAAGTTCTTTGTTAAAAAGTGGTGGAGTTCATTAAGGATATTGGTTGTATGTTATTTGCTTGTTTACAAATGATGCATAGCAGTTTACTATCGGATATACATTGCGATCGGGACGCATGCATTTCGACGCTTGCATGTAGTTCTCGCGCGTCACACGGCAACGCAAAGCCACCGGTGACTTTAATGCCAGCCCTGAAAGCGGATACACCACGCTTGCTCAATGTGCCCAGCAACATCCATTGCGCTCCGATCCCATTGTCCCAGAAGTTCCTTCGAACCTTGCGCACTACGTGACTAGTGGGGTAGGTAGCTGGTCACGGCTGGTGTCTGGTCAGGAGTCATCGTAACTGTGATCGCTATTTCGCGTGCGAGGGGATCGTCTGAGTCCCACGTGCCCCCGTGCCGTACCCGCAGGAGGCCAGGAGTCGTCCGAAGTGTCTGATTGCTGTGTCGCGTTCGAGGGGATCGTCTGAGTCCCGTGTACCCCGTGCCGTACCCGCAGGAGGCCGGGAGTCGTCCGAAGTGTCTGATTGCTGTATCGCGTTCGAGGGGATCGTCTGAGTCCCACGTGCCCCCGTGCCGTACCCGCAGGAGGCCGGGAGTCGTCCGAAGTGTCTGATTGCTGTGTCGCGTTCGAGGGGATCGTCTGAGTCCCACGTGCCCCCGTGCAGTACCCGCAGGAGGCCGGGAGTCGTCCGAAGTGTCTGATTGCTGTGTCGCGTTCGAGGGGATCGTCTGAGTCCCGCGTACCCCCGTGCCGTACCCGCAGGAGGCCGGGAGTCGTCCGAAGTGTCTGATTGCTGTGTCGCGTTCGAGGGGATCGTCTGAGTCCCGCGTGCCCCCGTGCCGTACCCGCAGGAGGCCGGGAGTCATCGCAGCTCCGAAGTGCTGACATGCCGGTATGGAGCCAGAGCGGTTGCGACAACGCCTACTTCCAGCCGATCCAGGAGATGTTCATCTGCGCCGGCTTCACCGACGGCAGGAAGGACGCGTGCCAGGTACGGCGTGCTGCCATGGCTCGGCGCCCACCTCGCCCGGTCAAGGAAGCGGACACTCGTGGCACGTCGTGAAAGAGCTTATGTGAACTGTCTTTGGTGATTTCAAGACGATGAGTCGATGCGCCACTGTCGGCGCCATCCCGCAACGACTGCATGCGATGCATTGATGCCCGCAGATGTTCATTTATGCATGCATGAACGTCGAATTGATTGATTTGACCGCAAACTGGGACGGCGGGATGTCACGCAATCACCGCTGCCGCGCATTTCTAGCGAACGGCGACCCGACCAGATGTCGTCATCATCGTGACTTGCGTTCGCAGGGCGACTCCGGCGGCCCCCTGGTGTACTTCGAGAACGGCAGGTGGATGCAGATCGGCATCGTGTCCTTCGGCAACCGCTGCGCTCAGGCCGGCTACCCTGGCGTCTACACCAGGACGGCCAACTTCCTGCCGTGGATCCGGCAGAACTTGATCTGACCCGCGGTCCGTGTAGACCATCTCAACAATCCGGGAAAGGCTTGCGATGTCCCGGAAGCTCCGCCCTCAGCGCACCGCCCGCTGCGGGGAGCGCCGCCCTGATGACCGCCGCCGGACCGCTCGCACGCGCTGCAAGGTCAACAGCGTGACCCGGCCGCTCAGACCGTGCGCGGACGGATGCGGATCGGGGTCACAAGCAGCGCCGCGGCGCCCGGCGTCCGGCCGCTGACCCGGTGAAAGTGCCCCCCTCCCCCTCCCAGCGGACGGGCCGCCGCGGCCGGCTCCTGACCGGATCCATGGCGCGCTGGCGGAGCGCCGGAGGATGGCGACGACGGCCGCCTGGCAGTGGCCCAGTCCCGGCGGGCTGGCGGTGTCAAGTGGAGACGCGCGCCGCTGAAATGGAAAGCGGAGGTCGGCGAAACTAACGGACTATGTTTGGCGGGCGCGTGCGGCCGGGGGAGCGTTACTGAACGGGGAAAACATCGGATCAGCTGATGTTGGCTAGTGTGGGTCGGTGAGCCGGCGTAGTGACTGCGCTCGCGCCACCCACCCTATGTTACATAGATGCCAGTTATCTGTTTTAAACTGTGTGTGATGGGCAGTACTTTCGAAGCGTCTCACACTATACGATTTAAATTTAGGATTTTTGTGTTTTGTTGGCTATGAGGTAATTTACCCTGTTGTGTTTGACAGGATCGTGGACATGCCTTAGCAGCGCAGTACCACCTTACCACGTCGAATGCCACAAATGCAATGTTGATCGCTGACGCGCGTTCTGAGCAACTTTACATGGGTGCAGTGGCCGTTTGTCGAGTTACTTGCCCACTTAATGTCTCGACTGTGGGTGAATACAGTGATCTTGCGGGTGATACTCGGGCTTCCAGGCCCAGCGAATTTGTGTGTGCGTGGCAATAAATGAGCAACACATCCGTTTATTAAACACATGGTTGAAGAACTAGCAATTCATCCGCACAGTTATCACATGCAAGATTCTCGCGGTCAAGAGTTTGAAGACCAAATGAAATATGTATCCCAGCATCAGTATCATGAAACTAACGCACACCTCCGGTGAACCACGTAGCCTGTTCTACCTACGAAACATTTGGAGCTAAGCAAACATCTTAATGCGCTATTAAACTGAATCAGCATTAGATGCACCTTGCAAAATGTAATAATCACACAGCTGGTAAATCGTCGAAGTTGTACCAGCCTGTCTCGGAGTCTGTATCTGTATTAGTCTGTCGCCGCACATTATGGCAACGGCTGTGTCACTTTTTTACAAGCGCAGGTACCCCGCAAAGGAACATTCAATGCAAAACAATGATCGAAGAACATCCTGACCACCGCAAATGTTCATCCGTTGTATGTTATCGTCAGTGGACCGAAACATTTGCGGGAAGCATCAAGCCAGCTCCCAAACGAATGTGCGATTTCCTGATAGTCACCTGATGTGAAACTTGGCGATGGTTCCAGCGTCACATAGGTTATGCTTACAGTGGCATGATTTATCGGCTTTCACACGTAGCATGAGAACCCAAACACTGTGTACCAGCAGCGTGGTCCGGATTTCTTAAGAGATAAGTGACAGACGGAGCTCAATGAGAACCAGTCACGCCGGCTTCGAGCTTTCTAACGGGAGAAATCTGTGGTGAAAAATTCAAAAAATCCGAACCTAAGACGGGGAATCCCCTGGCCCCTGTCTTGCTATGTACGGTTCACGCAAAGTGAGCTTTCGAAACAATTTTGTGGAGCCTTTCTTTGAGCGGATCACCATAGGCGATCTATAACCGATTCCACGCGGTGGGGTGTATCAGGAATGACTCAGTAATACATTGCAAATAAGCTTTCAACGTGATCTAAAATAGTCCAGACACGAAGATTATGCGATTGGACACGTGAGCCAGCCTTCACCGAGTGTCCGCCGTAAGCACAGCTGACTGAGTTTCGCTGCTGCGACACTGGCTCCGCGTTCCCGCCATCTCCGACCGAGAACCCGCTGGTCACATAGCGTTCTCCATGTGACCGATCCGACGCTCCGGTCAGTAGTTCTGTATCACATGCGAGGCCCGGCACGAGAAGAAAAGATGACGGGACGTCTCACCCCAGCCGAGCGAGCCCCACTGGACGGGTGACGTTTCGAAAGGAGCAGCGGCGCGGCATTTGCCAGCGATCTATGGCGAGCTGCCCGGACGGTGCCCGGTCTCCAGTGGCCCCAATGCTCTCTGGCTAGCTCCTAACAGCTTGGGACTTGTTGCCTGGATCTGGGGAGGGAGAAAGTGCTGAGCCGTCCGCGGCAGTTGGAGACTTTCTCTCGCGGGTTGGAGACTTTCCTCCCGGCACTGGAGATCTTCTCGTCGGCCCAGGTGACTTCCCTCCATTAGCTGGCGACCTTCCACCAGCCGGTGCTGGAGACTTCCTGTCAGGCGGTGCTAGGGACTTCGCGCCCGGTGCTGGGGTTCTTCTGGCTGGTGCTGGCGACTTTTCTCCGCGAGCTGGCGATTTCCTGGAGCGGGACGTGGAGCGGGCGCCGGACCGGGCCGGGCTGGGCGGCCCTGGGCTCTGTAACGCCACGGAGATGGGCGTGAGGTGAAGCATGCTTGACCTGCGGCTTCATTACAACCAGCGGTATTATTGTACTCCAAGATCAGCCTAACCGGATGTATAGGTCACTTGGGCATTGGTCATTAGTCACATATAAACACATGAAAATCGCACAACTATACCCTTTTGGGATCACAAAACGGTTATCAACTGCACATGGTGTTGGGATACAACGCATTAATGAAAAGTATGACACAGAGCTTCGAGTCACACTAATGAAAGGACATTTTTTCAACTATGTAACATGTCATGCATATACGTTCTATCTGTGCAGCACAGAACATGCGCCAGAAAATTCGAAAGCTCGGGCGATTCGGGGGGAGGGGAATTTCTCAGGTGCACTTTTAAGCGATAAGCACAATTTGTCTGGTAAATAACGACATAGCGTGAAAACATTATCTGCAGCGCTTCATTGGAGGACGCCACACATTGGGACATTTATCAGACATCGGAGGACGCAGTATAGTGATCATTTCAGGAATGTAGCGGGGTTCAAGGTTTAAAAATCAATGATCCGGGCATCTGAATCAGCGGGGTCAGCCTGGGACGTTCGCCATGCTTTAGAGCCTCTGCTAGGGCCTTGCCCGTGTTCTCATACTTCGCCAGGTTTTTGGAGGCGAGGACGCCAGGATTGGTTATGTTCCGTCATTCATCTATCATACAAGAGCTGCAGTTCGAAGCCCAAACGCAGACCGGAATATCGGGGCTCGTATAACGCCTATCGTTCGCGGGAGAGGAGCTCAGCAAGACGTGCAGCAACCGTGGATGTGTGATCAGTGACGACATTCAATGTTGCTTGGGGGCTAGCCTACCGAAGCGAAATTTGGAGCACGTGAACCGGTTTGAATTGGCTTTGAATCAAATCGCCTGAAAACCGGAGGCATGACTGACGGCGCGGCGCGCGTTTGAGGCCTGGGATGGACCCCTGAATGCCCTCACTCCGCTCAACGTCGCAGGGGTTTTATAAGGCACCCCGCTGAGCGTGCGAGTGCCCGGCGGTGAAGGATGCTGCAGAGCTGTCACGTTAAGCCGGTCCTTACCATGGTGCGTGTTGTTGACACCAGCCCCTGTCATGTCCCCAAACGACATGGAACACAGCCTGCCCGGAGTGTTTGGCTCCAGAAGCGACACTGAACATAGCCCGCCTGCAGTGCTTTCTCCAGAAGCGACATTGAACACAGCCTGCCCGGAGTGTTTGGCTCCAGAGGACATCTTAGAAACGGCTTGTACGGGTTGTTTGGCTCCAGAAGCAACACTGAACATAGCCCGCCTGCGGTGCTTGCTCCAGAAGCTACATTGAACACAGCCTTCCCGGAGTGCCCGCTCCAGAACCGGATAACCTGACGAGGATGTTTACTAAAAACTTTGGGAGTGATCATTCATCTGTAATTTTCCTGGACTTCGCGCAGTGGAGGGGAAATTGAGTTTTGTGGCAGGAAAGCAGAGGTCACCAAAGGGCATCCCGGCTTGGTCAGCTTCTGAGCGTGACACCAGAGTCCGACATAGATGTCGCCCCTGTCGCTCACTGTACACCTGGGACTCGGATGTCGGCAGTTCCGTTGACTTCCCATGACAACTGAGTGTGTAAAGTGCTCTTGGTAGCCAAAATGGCAGCTTTATTGGATGCTCCACGTCATGATACGTCAATGAGCGAATAGTTTCCCACTTATAACGTCAGTAATCGTTGCCACTGAACGAAAGCGTTCGCGGTTGCTGTACGTGTCTGCAGGTAATTATCGGCTCTCGACGGTAACTGCCACAGGAAGACACTGCTATCCGCCAACTGTAAGCCAGAGATGTTTGCGGATTCTAAGTACTGGTAAAGTTTGTGGTGGGCACCAGTGGGTATGTGGTGGCGCGGGGTGGGAGGATTTTGTGTCTGTTCAATGTCAGGCGCGGTCTTCTAATATCTATGATATCTTTTACCGTCTGGCGCCAATTATTATTACCGTTAAGTGAAGCAAGCTGACATTCACTGGTACCCAACCACGGTTTTTGATAGCTTCGATGCGTAACGGAAGGGAGTTTTGGTACTGCAGTGTTGTTTGTTTGGTACACCGATCCACCCCAGTGTCCGTGAATATGTTCTGTGTTATTTGACTCGCGATCACTGGCGATTGCCCGTAGCTCTCGACAGTCGAAATGCCACCGAAAAAAACCCGATCAGCGACCGCCGCGTATTCTCACTCTTTCAGTCCTTTTGTGGGATTCTTGGAATCTGGGGCGTCACTGACGGGAATCTCAGGCAATTGATCATCGTCGGCCATTCGTTTTCCTCGACTATCTGCATATTTCCCTGGCTTTCCTGCCGCTCGCTGACGGCATCAGATGGTGGCGTACCTTGCCATTTGTCACTGTCATTGCACATTAAGCAGCGAATGATCGGTGGCGGGCGTGAGCTCTCATGTCGTCGGTGCGCTTCCGATGGGAGCTAGCGATGACTGACGATCGGCGCTGGTGGCCCGCCACTGCGTCAGCGGTCGGGGCAGTGCCAGCAGGGCCGCCCACCGCCAGAGGCCCCCGGCTCAGGGCGGGAGCGGTTGGGGCAGTGCCAGCAGGGCCACCCACCGCCATAGGCCCCCGGCTCAGGACGGGAGAGATCGGGGCAGTGCCAGCAGGGCCGCCCACCGCCAGAGGGGGGCCTCTGGATCAGGACGGGAGCGGTCGGGGCAGTGCCAGCAGGGCCACCCACCGCCAGAGGGGGGCCTCTGGATCAGGACGGGAGTGGTCGGGGCAGTGCCAGCAGGGCCACCCACCGCCAGAGGGGGCCTCTGGATCAGGACGGGAGCGGTCGGGGCAGTGCCAGCGGGGCCGCCCACCGCCAGAGGGGGGCCTCTGGATCAGGACGGGAGTGGTCGGGGCAGTACCAGCAGGGCCGCCCACCGCCAGAGGCCCCCGGCTCAGGACGGGAGCGGCCGGGGCAGTGCCAGCAGGGCCACCCACCGCCAGAGGCCCCCGGCTGAGGACGGGAGCGGTCGGGGCAGTGCCAGCAGGGCCACCCACCGCCAGAGGCCCCCGGCTCAGGACGGGAGCGGTCGGGGCAGTGCCAGCATGGCCACCCACCGCCAGAGGCCCCCGGCTAAGGACCGATGATGGATCAGACGACGTACGAGAACGGCCAGGGGTGATGGAGGGGCGGGGGGGGGGGTCCATGACTCATAAGAGGAATCATTCAGTCGGTGTCAGCCATGAAATATAACTGGACGGTACAGAAGGAAGATACACGCGATGTGGCTCTGTGGGTGTTGTGAGTGAGTGGCACGTTGTTCCAGGCAGATGCGACCTAGCTCGGAATTTTGAGGGGCTACTACATAGATCCAAATGCTTTGCAATATTCATAAATTATGGTTTAGCGAAGCTAAGAACGCTGCAAAACACCGCCTTTGTGCTTAGACACTGGGTCCGTTTTCTTCCAGAGGACCACATTACTTCCGTAAGCACGTTAGACTACGAATGGGATTGCGTAACTAGACTACGCGGAATGGTATATTGATGAGCAAATACTGTATTGAAAGTTCACATATGTGCGCCGCTCATGATATCTCCTAATCCCACGCACTTTTGTGCCGCATTATCGGCATTAAGTCATTGATTATTTTGTCGTTTAGGAGGATACGTGGTAGCCCCTGTCCTCCCGCGGCTGAATTCGGGCTAGTCTATGCATGCATATGAAGGGACAGCTAGCACACTCATGATCAAACGCACGGACACAGTTATGGACAGACACATGGACGGAGGACAGTTAATGACGACCTGGCGGAAACGCCGACAGACCGACAGCTAGTCACACAGCTGCCTACAACACCGGCCGCCGGTGCCGGCTGCCGGCGCCTCACGGGTTCTGCGACGCTGCCGACGGAGCTGGCCGGCGACCTGGAGGCCAGCGACAGGTGACGCACACGCCCCTCAGCCGAGAGCGAGCGCATCTGGCGCATGTACGCCGCGTCCTCGAAGATGCGCCGGCCGCCGCCGCCCGGTCGGTGTCCCACGTTCTCCATCGAGCCCACCTTGCTGCCGACTGTCAGCAAGTGCAGGCGGCGGCTCTCCACCTGCAAGGGCGGCGCACACATGCCACGGCCGGGCCTCGGGCAGCCTGGGGTCGCGGGACGGCAGGCTGGGATCGCTGGAGGGCAGGCTGGGGTCGAGGGATGTGCAAGTGCAAGACCTGCGAGGTTGCAGGTCAAAGTGAGGTCACGTGCCACCGCGATGTCACAGGTCAGGGTCAGTGCTAGCCCTTCCGGCGCGATGTGGCGGTTTAACTGCTCAACAAGCATGACGCACACACACATGCCGGCAATGGTAACAAAAAACGCACCGAAAGACGCCGTGAGATCAAAGGTCACAACAAAATTAACGAGTCAGGCCCCGACCGGGAACAGGCCAAAACAGTGAGGATACTGGTGCAATGGTGGTGTGCAAACGACGATGCAGCCATTCCCGCAGAGACCTCGGAGGCCGGTTTGCCAGAAGCCGAGTGAAAACTTACATTGCTCCTGCTCTGACTACGCGAGCGAGGAGATACGCCAAGCAGCTGGATACAGAATACAAAGTCAAAAGGCGAGTGAAACAAAGTAAACCGATGCATATAAAGCACAAATATAGCAAGCGGATCGTAGCAAAAAAAAAAACAGGAAAGATTCAGAAACTTTTACACACATAAATGCAGCCTATAATACAGCCTAGGCATCTGCGTGGAAGCTTCATTGTATACAGGTATGGATTAACACACGAAGCCTATAGATAATAAACGGAATGTTTCTTTGAAATAAATAAGAATCAGGGTGAAAGTTACACAAATAATAGCAGACAATAAACAGTAGATAAAAGCGGTCCGAGCGCAGCGGGCTGACAACAAAATGCTGAAACACAAATGACCTATGCAATGCGGTGTGTAGTTTCGAGCCTTACACTAGTCATTTTAGACTCCGTCATCCTGATACATAGAGAAACAACGTTACGCGAGAAGTGCATGTAAGTACATCAGAACAAGTACAAAATGTCTCGTGATATGAATAAAACATCAAAATATGAAATGTCGTAACATCAAAATATCGGCAAAATAGTTAGCATAAAACACCTCTTCCTACAACACATTGCCTTGGCGGCGTTGTTTTGCGGGATAGCCAGACCTAGAGACAAATGTAATGTTTGCAAATCTTTGCAAATATTTACAAGGTTACGTGCGTTGTTAAGTACATTTGCGAGGAAGATTATTCACATAGATGATACAGCAATTATGGCCTTGTTCCTCGGAGAAAAACCAGGAGAATGGAGATATAAATGCGTTGATATTTCGGCACCATGCCTTTACCCAAACGTATAGAGTAAGCTATTTGTATTGGTAAAGGCATGTTGCCGAAATGTTAACGCATCTACATTCTCCTGGTTTTCGCCGAGGAATAAACTTGTTACTGCTGTCAAACCTTAACAAGCACTGATAAATATTTTACAAGTTGTTGGTGAGCATGTTGATTTGCTACGTTCAGTATATATATATATATATATATATATATATATATATATATATATATATATACATATATATATCCCTCTCTCTCTCTCTCTCTCTCTCTCTCTCTCTCTCTCTCTCTCTCTCTCTCTCTCTCTCTCTCTCTCTCTCTCTCTCTCTCTCTCTCTCTCTCTCTCTCTCTCTCTCTCTCTCTCTCTCTCTCTCTCCCTTTCTCTCTCTCTCTCTCCCTGTACATGAAAATCCTGTGTGTATCATGGAAGCCACAAAGCACGTCTGAAATGGCGTCGCGCTTGCCATGAATGTCGCTTGAGTCGAGGCATTCCGTAATTTTGCACCAAACAACCGATTGAGCATTTCTGAGCGTTCGTGAGTTCAAGGAACTTGTAGCCAATCCCGCAATTTACCAAAAACGCTGTTGATGAAGTCATGCCAGCACGTACACCACAGTATTGTGCCAAAGCTACGGAACCCGTCTCGTGGCAAAGACCAGCGACTCCGTGGTTCAGGCTAATCACCAGTCCGGGTTCCGGCCCGAGCGGTCCCGGCTCTGGCGGCACCCGATGACGTCATAGGTCACCGGCGCCCGCAACGTCCGGGAGAAGCAATGGAACGAGACGGTCGGCTGAAAGCCGATCATGGCAGCAGCTCTTCAACTCGCGGCGCGCTTGCAAGTCCCGTCATCCTCCCCAGACCCGCGCAAACTGCGCGATGCGCTGTGATGCAATGCATCGCCATTCCCGCTGACGTCATCTCCAGCGTGTCGGTTTGCCCACCTTCACGTCCCCGCCGCCGGGCTTGTGGTGGATGTTGTCCCGCGAGCCGATCTTGGACGAGGCCCGCTGCCGGAAGTCGAGCCGCTGGGTCTCCACCTGCACGTTGCCGCCTCCGGCTTTGTGCTTGGCATTGGCCAGCGAGCCGATCTTCGACTGTCCCTTCCACTCGAGCTTCTGCAGCACGATCTGTGGTGGAGGGAATGTGCGGTTGACGCGGGGAGCTCTGAGACAGGACGGGGTTAGACTGCCGCGGAGAGCTCTGAGACAGAACGGGGTTAGATTGCCGCGGGGGCTCTGAGACAGGACGGGGTTAGACTGCCGCGGGGACTCTGAGACAGAACGGGGTTAGATTGCCGCGGGGAGCTCTGAGACAGCACGGGGTTAGACTGCCGCGGGGAGCTCTGAGACAGCACGGGGCTAGACTGCCGCGAGGGCTCTGAGACAGCACGGGGCTAGACTGCCGCGGGGAGCTCTGAGACAGGACGGGGTTAGACTGCCGCGGGGGCTCTGAGACAGCACGGGGCTAGACTGCCGCGGGGAGCTCTGAGACAGGACGGGGTTAGACTGCCGCGGGGAGCTCTGAGACAGCACGGGGCTAGACTGCCGCGGGGAGCTCTGAGACAGGACGGGACGATTTGCAGCGGCAAGAGAACGGCGTTCAATTGCCAAAGAGAAGTTCTGGGATGGGATGAACGACCTGAGGCAGTGGAAATGGACTGCTGGGGAATGTCTGGAATGCAAATATGTTACATATATACAATGACATATCATTTTACGAAGATAAAGTTATAATATATAGCTATTTAAATGCATCATTATATATATATATATATATATATAATGATGTATTGTACAATTATGTAATGTATATTTAATGTATTTCATGTTAGTGTTAATTAAGTTGTTATGTTTATTGCACATAATATGATTATACATATATATATATATATATATATATATATATATATATATATATATAATATCAATGTATGGATATTATCAGTGACTTGAGGGCACGGAAGCTTATTGCGGAGCTCATTGCATTATTTGACAGCGGAAGATCAAGTGTATCCGTGATGTTTAGCAAGTGATTTCAGAAGGCTTTGTTGCGGTAATCTGGCACGCTGAACAATATATAAACGAGTGCACAATATAGCACTGTTGCAAGCGTTAGTCAGCGAAGAAAGCCAACAAACGTGTGTGCACCTCCTTGCAATATCATTAGCCAGATCAACGGCTCGGTGCGTATGCCACTCTGTTCTGCTTCCCTCCTCTCCGCCCTTTCCATCCATCCGGGGTGTCTGCCATTCTTTTACAATACTGCGCTGTTTTTCTCCGCCGCCGGACGTCAATATCTCTTTAAAGATCAACACCACAGACGAGAACTCAAAATGCGAGTATGCTTACAGACCTTTTTATTGCCGCCGCCTGGCTTGTAGTCCGCCTTGGCCTGGATCCTGGGCGTCACCTTGCTGTGGTCCAGCTTGCGGTTTTCGATCTTGACGTTGCCGCCGCCGGGCCTGTAGCCCGAGTTGACCAGTGAGCCGATGCGTGACTTGACGTCCCTGATGTTGGGCGAGGCAGCCGTGCCCACCTGCACCTTGTTCATCGGCAGCTCTGGAAGCGGCAGACGCTGCGGTCAAGCACGGAATGGACGGAATCCACCGGGCGGTGCTCAATCAAGAGATCAGTGAACATCTTGTGGTAGATACCTGGGATGGATCGTACGAGAAGAGGAAAAATCGGTACAGTCAGTAGCATACGATCAGCATCATATCTGCAAGGATACCTTGCATCATGTCGAAGCTGTCATGGTGTAGGTATTGCACTCAAACAAATGATCGTGTGACCCACCAACGATGGTCAAAATGAAAAGGTTGTTTGGGCTATCTTCCCAACTGCTTTCAAAACGGGCAAGGTGATGAGATTTGGCGGTGTCTAAGGAACGTAACCAAACGGGGCCACGGGGTCACGCTCTGAGACGAAACTAGATCTACATTACATTTCATTTAAGGTAGGTTTATGTTTGAGTTGCATTAAGTTTAAACTAGACCTTGGTCGATTCGCAGGAATCTGGTCGGTCCAAGTTCGTCGGAGCTGGGAAAGTTGGCATTTGCCTTTCCGCTTAGGAAAATTCTAGCTACGTGCGTGCTGCATGTGAAGTCGGTCAACCAGAATAATTCTGATTCCGGGGGGTTCTTTCATTTTCTGTCCCAGACAACCACAAAGTAAACAAGTTCCTTGGTTTCGGGCTCATTGTTCGGACGTGCAAGTGTGAAAAGCATTGGACACACAACATTCTGGGTCATACTTTTTTGCCCAATTTTTGTAAGTCGTAAAGCGATTGGTAATAAGACGCGTTCACTCTTCGTCACAGTTTCTTCAAGTCTACCGTTTTCTGACGATTTAGGTAGATGCATTCGTCAGGTACCAGGTATCAGGTTGCGTCATTATTCGTTTATGTTTCCCCGGTGGAACTGTGCACAGCTGACCAATTCAACTCCCATGGAAAACCACGTGGTGAGTTCAGAGTCGTTATGCTAACAGTTATCGGCTTTCATTTTACCGGAAGGCATCGATTGTACAACGCTTTCAGCGAAGATTGCATATATTGCTTCTATTCAGGAGTATCAACATCGAAGTGCCTGGTGCGATCAGAGCATTGTCATTATAACCCTTGTTTGCTTGGTAACGTTTGACCAGTAACTCCCGGTTTAATGAAAGTCGATAACTGTCAGCATGAGAACCGAGCTCATAATACCAAAAAACAAAACAAAACAAAACAAAAGCAACAGCAGATGAAACGGCCGTTCTCGCTTGTATCGACGAAACACGTGCTTGATTTTTTTCAAAAAATGGGTCCGTATTATCATACATTTACATGAGAATCATCTCCGTTTTTCACCACACATGATATAATATTTGATGATAACAGTGTATGTTTGTTTTTTAGATCTTAACAGCATATTTTGCACAGTTGATTGGATTATACATGGCGGTAAAAATGGAAAGACGCGATCTTCGCCGACTCAGCTGGCTACAGCGCAACTTAGCAAAGGATTCCCTTCTTTTAATGAGTTCGCCAGATGATTTCAAAGTGAACGCTTGAAAAGTGGACCAACTCAACCTCATCCACGATCTCAAACGTTACAAACACATGTCACTTCGACCCCTCCATGTATTTGTCATGCGAAATGGCTGTCCAATATTTGTCATGCAGAGCATGACAGCAATTAAATTCATTTCCGGCGCGATTAAGGAAGGAAGTATGGTACATATGCAACGTGTTACTGATTCATTTAACCAAGGTATATTTCATTCACAACTTAAAGAAATGATCAAAACTGAAAAATAATCCATAGTAACGAACTACGTCATTAACAGCCAAGCACACACATACAGAACGAATGACGCCATAATTTTGGGAACACCTTGTTACGAACACCACCAACTTGCCAGGCTATTGAGACTATTTTTTCGTGGCCATTACAGCCATGTTATTGATTACCCTGATAGCCTCCTTGTCCCTACTCAGCTGCTGCAGAAAACGGGCGATTGCTGCTGGCATGCTGTTCGGCACCTTAAACTTGCCTTTCTTCTTCAGTTTGTAATTGGCAACCACTGACACACTTCTGCCCTTGGTTTTCCGGTGTACCATTTCGAGGAGGGCCGGCCGCCGAGCGCCTTCTGGTGCGCCGGACGAAAGACTGCCCGCCCGGGTGCGCGCTCTTCGCACCAGCGGGTGCTCCTGCCTCGTGCGCATCCTCTGCCGAAACTGGCGGGTGTGCTGCAGGGCGCTGAGCGGGCGCTGCCTGCCTGCACTGCGCGAGGACGACCGCCTCCCGGACCCGTGCGACGCCAGGCTGCGCTCCGACGGCGAGTACGTCACGCGCTGGGCGCGCTGGCGGACGGTCGGCGCTTGAGACAGCGTTACCTGCACGCCCCGACTGCGGGTGTCTTTGGCGATATTCCGGGCCGAGCTGGGTCTTTTGCGCTTGCTTGTGGACTTTGAGTCCTGGCCTGCGCAGGCTTCTGAGGTTCTGGGCACCGCTGGCGCTGGCTGGGCTGGAGACGCGGCGACCAATTTGAGCGCGGGAGCAGGACAAACAGCGGAATTGGCAGGCAGCTCATGCGTAGCCTCCGTGGAGCTCACGTATCGTCTTTTTGCAGTTGTTGCGGGAGTCGATGGTGGGTTGATTCGGCCATCACTCTCCGCTGAGTATTCTGCGTCATTCTGCGGCGGGCCTTGAGCACCCTCTGCAGGATTCAGAGGTTGGTTTTGCCCGGCCGCCACGGGGCTTGGCTGCAGGCTTTGCTTAGCCTCTTCAGAACTCGGAGGTGGGTCTTTCGTTACGTCCAAGGGGGTTGAAGGTAGGCCTTGCGGAGCTACTACGGGCTTCGGAAGTGGTACCTCGGCGACCTGCGCACTGCTTAGAGGTCGGTTTTGTACGGTTGAAGCGGGACTCGTCTGCAGGCTCTGGTTAGCCTCCGTAGAACTTGGATGTGGGCCTTTCGTATCCACCGCGGGGGCCGCAGGGGGGTCTTGTGTACTCTCTGCGCTACTCAGACGTTGGTTTTGCAGAGCGATCGCGGGGCTTGGTTGCAGGCTCTGGTGAGCCTCTGTGGAACTCGGAAGTGGGCTTTTCGTAGCCTCCGCGGGGGTCAAAGCTGGGTCTGGCGCAGCCACCGCGGGATTCGGAGGTAGCGCTTGTGCTGCCTCCGTGGGTGAAGAGACACTAGTGAGGGTGGGAGTCGTTTTTTGCCTCAGTCGGGTGTTCCTGATCGGTGACTTCGACCTGTTGAATATCTTTGCAGTTTTCGGGGCTTGGAATTGCAGGTTTGGATGGTGAGGGAGTTTGTCTTGGTGCCTCACCACCAGTATCTCGCGTCAGTGCCTTCTCTTTCCGTTCAGCGTTTCGTTTTCGTCTCGCCCTCCTTTCAGTTTTTCGGGTTGCCACAAAGTGATTATGTTTCGAGTCTTTGATTTTATCCAATTGAGCAGAATCGTCCCCTTCGCGAAGAATAATCACCATTTCCGTCTGAGTATATTTTGAATCATGGCCACCGAATATCTTGCTTTTCGGGCAACTGACTTCCTTTTCTTGAATCGGTGAGCTTGGCTGGTGTTGTACATGAGAGGTCAGCCTTTCTTTACTACTGAAGACCGCTTTTTGAACAGCATTATGGGCACTTCTCGTTAGCTTCACGGAGTCTGTAGCGCAGAAGGATGTCGGTCCCTTTCTTACACGCACCCCGGTGCATGACTTTGATGGTGTGGTCATTCCGTTCTTAGTTTGCAGCACTGGACAGCGTGAGGACAAGCTACTTTTTGTCGGATTGGTGCTCAGCTGGCTGTCGCTACTGACTTTGGGTTTCTCATCTTGACGTAGATGGTTACGCTTGCGGCGAACAGAGCACGGTTCCAATATGTTGGGTGAAATACCCTTGTCCTTTTTAGCATGACTGGATGTTTTGTTTAGGGGTTTGTGTGCCTCGCCGTTAATGGAACTCGTTGCAGACTGCTTCTGTTTTGATTTTCCGCTGATTGTACGCTTTAGGGAATCTTTGGTTAATCGTCCATCTACATGATCATTATCCTCGGTGCCTGTCCTTTGTATGGAATCCTTGAGCTGCACATCTGAGGGATTTGAGCGAGAGGCACACAACCGATGGCTGGCGGAGTTGGGTCTTTCCTTCCTTCTTGTCCTGGACGGACGATGAGCTTGGACAGGACATGACTTCAGACTTATGTTATCGGAATCGTCCAAACGGCTGTCAAAGGATATCCTGGTTTTGCCCAATTCTTCGTCTATGGGCGGAAGGGCTGGCCCCTTCGATTTCATGCGTGGTTTTGGGGCTACATCATTCACAGACATACATGGATTTTCTACCTATGTATTACATGTACAATTTGGAAAGCTGTAGCATATCATTAAAACAAAAACATACACAAGTGTAACTTCGATTTTGTGTTATGCGTCGTATTGGTCCCATTCTAAAACCGAACGGCAAATTAAGAACGAAGTCCGTGCGACTATGTTATACGGAACCTTTAATTTTGTAACAATAATGTCTTCTACCTGGCCTGATCATAAAGCTCTGATTTTTATAATTTTGTGTTGGCATTATGAAATCTTGTGCTTGAAATAGTGGATCTTCATTGTGCTAGGCGGTCGGGTATTATCAAGCGTCCTCACGAGTACTGCCTTGAAACGTCGAATATTATTATAATATATCCTTATGATTGTTGGACATCGTTGCTTACCATTGCCTCGTGGAATATTACGGATCGGCAATCATGATTGCTTTTATGGTATAATCGGTTGCACTGAATGTGCTAATGCCAGAAGTTAAGACGAGGCGTCTTTTGACTATTTTTCATTTGTAGTCCAAAGCTAAATAATACAATTAAGATGCGCTCAAGCATCAGTGCAGGAGTACCATTTCATCAACAGCAGCTGCAGCACTTCAGCCCTTTATCGTCGAAATATTGGCCAAAATATGTGCGAACTGCAAGTCTCTCTTGCTGTAGTAAACCTATCTCGTCATCAATGAGTTTCATCGCAAAAATGCTTAAAACATTGAGACAGCTATCCCGTTCTCAATGAAAGCTTTACCAGCCGCAACGGACTCCTCTTAAGTTCGGTCCTCACCGTGACCGTGTCTGTCATTCGGTGGCCGTCATCTGCGACCCCGGTCATCGACATTTGATCAGATCAGACGGATTGATTAAGATCGGAAAGCAGAACGGCTTACATTTGTCCCCTGTCTGTGAATGGTCTGCAACAATCGCCGACGGCCACCATGGCCGCGGCGCGGACAAGGTTTAAAGTATTTGCTGCCTTCATTGTCATCGTGATGGGTACGACATCAGGGTTTGTTCTCTAAGACCATGCAAATTACTACAACACCGGCCGCTATGTCAGGTCAATAATTGTCAATGGCACGGTATAAGGGTAGTACGATGACGACAGTTCGACGTTGTCGACGCCTAACCGATAATGGCCTCGTTCTTGGCAATAGTCGGTAGTTTTGGTTTGATCGCATTGCATTCAAAAGTTCAAAGGCCTTTCATACGCATAAGAGAGCGTTTAGAGGTCTTATGTTGAGTGATCAACCTTCAATATGTCAAAAGGTCTTGGATACGAAACATAGAGAAAACAACGGGCATATTGACAGCACTGCAATGCCTATGACAATGTCAATGCAGCGCAAACGTTGTCAATGCAAACGTTGTCGTCGTTTAACGTCGTTTACGCCCTGCAACGTTGTCAAAACAGTACCTCTCGGTATAATGAGGGTCGAAAACTCAGCATAAGGCTTATGAACTTATAATGTAACTGACAAAGGCAGTATATACAAAATATTTAATGAAGAGCCACGTTAATGCTGAAAAACGTAAATAATCACTTACTTTTGGGTTTATCTGAAGCAGAACTGTTTTCAAGAAGTCTAGAAGACATCCGTCCTTTTGTTGGCGACCCGTGATGGCTCGGTCCCTGAAATTTGCGGACAAGATCAGCATGAATTAAGAACTCCCACGCCGCACAACCGACTCGCTTGCAGAAGTAGTCGTATATGCTATAAAAATTGAATAATCTACGCTCTCAGATGCACACAGGCTATTCATACGCTTCTGAGGGTAGTTGTTATCGCATCCATTTTATACCACTCGGACGTTCAGGTGATATTGCAACAGATGATGCAGTTATGAACGACCCGGAAATCTCACAATTCTCGTGGACAAAAATCATCTGTCTATTGGCATTTTTTGGCAATTCAGATAACATTTGTCGAAGCATGACATGAGGGAAGGGAGCTGGATAACGCAACGTTACGCTCAGGCGTGGCTGCAAATGATGATAGGCTTCTAAAGATGCTCTAAAACATTAAAGGCGGATACCGTCCGCTAGTTGTCTGGTAAGCAGCATGCCGGTCTCTGTTTTACACTCGATTAGGGCCCAAAGGGACGTTACATTTTTGGGACGTTACGCTTAACACCGCCTAACTAGGGGAGGTTGTCTTGCCAGCGTAACCAGTACGTGGCAAGGTAAAAGGGGTACTAGGTATGCACAAGAAAGGCCTTTAGCTCCCAGTTTTTCGACATCATAAGATCAGACTTCATATGTGATTTACAAGACTCATGATATAACAGAAAGTACTATTAAAACGACGTGATGGAGTGAATATTGACTGCAATGGCAACATCCGACATGTCACACTGTTTTACATGATGGTCGACGTTTCAACGTTCCAGGCTCACAGTCATGAGTACTGTGCTTCAAACGGTGAACTTCGAGTGCCGTCAGATTCAGCAATATTTGCTCTACAACGTTCTTTAACTAGAACCTCCCGGTGATTGAAGATCGATAACTCAGCAGGAAGACTCTGAGCTCGTTATGGATAGGGGTTGTAAAATAGTCAAAAATGTGTAGCGTAGTCTATGGATGGTCGTTAACGGTCGGAGAGCATCACGCTGCGCGTGGGGGTAATGTTCACATCAGAATACAAAATATACCCTGCTAAAGTGATGTGAACCAACGAGAGAACATAAGGAAAAACGCTCCGCGTTTGAAAATATTGATGCAAGTATCAAATATCAGGGGAAAACCTCACTTATAACTATTGGTGTGCATTTAAATGCAAGCAACTGCTCTACATCACAATCTTTCATTTTTCTTTTTTAGAAAATTTGCTGCTCAGTACGTCATCATTTGATTGCGTCATGGAACATGTTTATGACATCAGAGTAGCTGCCAGACTGGCCGGATAGGAATTGTTACTGTGGCGGACGGGTTTACCCATTTGTAGTGCTTGTAGTCAACTCGCCGCGAGGAGGCTTGCAAATGTATGCGTGTGAAAACACGACCATCGTTATGTGCGCGTGTTTAGCCCTCTGTCGTGGTGTTTTTGCATGTTTTCCGTGATGACATGTTTGTTTACTTCCATTTGCACTTTCGGCTACGGCATTACTCTTAAGTTATTCTGATCTCAACCTTATGGCGGTCAAAACAGGAAGAGTTGCCCGAACGCCTGTGTTATGTATCACAAAACGTTGCGCGTGATTGAGTCCAAAATTCAACGCGTTAAGCTAGCTGAAAGCCAAGGAGTGTTCATTAATGCGACGACTCGCGCTGACATACTTCAGTCACGATTATGCCAATGGCCATATCTTCGTCTAAGCATGATAACAATATGGCCGTCGTGAAGACGTAATTTAAGTGACGCTTCTATGACGTCATACACCTTTGGATGACTTCTTCTGAGGAGGCGTGAAATAGTTCGCACAAGTTCGTTTGCGCCCAGCCCAATAACGAGAACGTTAAGTCTTGCAAAGGGCATAACTGTGAACTGTGGGAATGATCTTGAAATGGCTATATCAGTCAAAAACCGCATACAAGTGTTAAACAGATGCTTTTACCTTTCCATGCCACATGGAAAACACTTGCCTTGGCAGCTACTGAAAATTGTTGAAAGCGCCTGGCCAAACAAATTGTCCAACGACCATCTGGTGCTCTGAATGGTGCATATGCACTGGCGTTTTCAGGATTTTTTTTGGTCCGATAAAATGCACTCTCGATAGCGATCTTTCATGTTACTTTTCAAAGTGTTGCGTAACAAATACCTAGGAGTGCAGTGGGCGGTGCCAGTTCTGTTCGCTGCACCCTTAAATGAGAGTCCGACTGACTCTACAAGTGTTACACAAGGACGTGTGCCGCAATTGTTTTAAAACGATTTATGAAGTTTTTGAAACATATCAATCGCACTTTTTTCATGCTCTTTGCTAAGACTCGACAGTTTATTGGGCCTCTGGCGCTGGCCAATGCAATGAATATGACAAAAAAACAGACAGATGAAATCATCAGAGTCCAGTCAGAATTCTCTTAAGCAGGGACAGGAAAGCGGCCGGACTACAGCGTGTGAAAGTCACGACGATTTTTTTACGTTGTCTCCGTAGCCGTCTACGGCAAAAAATACGGGCTTAAGGGGGCTGCCCGGTCTTTCCCCTTTCGCCGCGTTCTTGAGTCAAATGCACTGCGGCTGTTTTGCATTAAGCAATGCACTTTGCTTTTGTTTGCAATGGCGTCTGTTTAAATGAGGCCAAAGCATGATTTACTGGTCATGCTAGGGTTAAAAGACCAACATTTGGAAATTTCCGATAAACAGAGTAATCAATCATGCCGACTAGAAAACTATATTTCTTGGCAAGTCCCTATTCTTTAGAAATATGCATTGTATATGCCTAGTCCATGCTCGAAAATGTAATAAAAGACAGCTAATGTAACCTGATATAAAGCCGGTATTATACTAGAGTTGCTTTCACCATGGATTGCTGCAATTATCTTTTTAATGCATGTTAAATGTTTCTGTGAGGGCTATAGGAGATATAAAATAGGCTGACAGGAAAAATGTTATAAAAATGAAAAATGTTAAAAATGCTATTTCATTAACACGCAACAGGTAAACTATGTGTATCCAACTAGGAATAACTTTGCTGTATTAAACGAAACCCTTTTTACACATTTCTTCAGCCCAGGCCTTCAGTTCACCATAAAAGGGGGAAATTTCTAGGTCTGGCATTTACCAATGGGCATTGGTTACACGGGATGTTTGACATTTATATGGGGCTCTGAACTGAAATAGCCATCTTGAAGATCTTACGGTGCTGTTCACAACTGTCCCTTCTTAAGACCTGAGACCCTCTAGTATCTGAGTTACACGCTCGCGAAAATGGAAAAATGCATATCGGGGAGAGTATTTCAAAGTCACGCTGGCATTCATGACATCATAATAACGCTATTCAAATCCTGTCATCCCATAAGCCATGCGGCAATCAACGCCAAGAAATAGAGACGTTCGCGGGAGCGATTTCCAGGTGCAACGGCCGTCAACTGATTCTCAATCAATGTTACGCAGAGAGCGACGACGTAATCAAACCATGACACATTGACAAGCATATTTACTGAATAGAAAATTGGATTGACTGGAGTAGTCTTTTCCACTTAAAATTGCACCAATACTTGTAACTGAGCTTGTGTTATCATATCTGATGCTTGCTTCAATGCCTCCAAAAGCGAAAAATTCCCGAAACAAACAACACTCCCGGGTGGCCGGTTGGTTACCCTTCGCATGTGTGAAGGGTCAGTTTGACCCGCCGAGATCTCATGAACTAGTAAAGCTAGAAGCACAAGATTTGCGAAGTGTGTTGACCCGTATCTGAATTCATTTCGGTCGAAGTTTAAAGTTCTTAGGTCATGACCTTCTGGTCAAATAAGGTCACGAAAGGCCAATTCCCCGCTCGGTCTCCAAAGGGCCCCCAGAATCTAGATACCTGCTCTAAGCAAAATTTGCCATGCTTGTTTAAAGTCAGTGACCTTGTCTGACCTTTTGAAGGTCATGGTGACCAAAATAATAAAACACTGCGTCGGGTTTTTCATTCTATGAAGCAACAAAGATTACGCTAGGCAATACGTTCCTAAGAAACAAGATGCTGATCTGGGTCATTTTATGCTAATTACCTACTCTCACCTTTAATCAGTCCATGGAAGATGCATTAAACGATTCCTGTTTTCAGCAAGTTCGAAATGAGACCGGAAACTACCCAAAACAGCAGGTCCTTTAGTAATAAAACAGGTTTATTCCGATCCCGGTCTCACCTTTATACCTGACCCTAGGTCAATGTAATTTAATCATTTAATTGTTGTGCTGCCGAAGAAAGTATCTCAGAGATGTATGACTTCGTCTCCATTGTTGCATCAGACTAAACAATTTGCTACAAACTGACTTCGGTGAATCCATGGTCTGACTTTGACCTGCCGTAGGCTAGTGACCTCTCAAGTTGCATCCAAATTTTTGTTTGCATCAAGCGGTCCGCTATTCAGTTATCTACAGCTGTTGATGGTGTGTTAAAGGCGTTGGACGCTGGATGCGCCTCTATTGTTTACATGAGTTATGTGTGTAACAAGGCGGGTTTGGAGAATAATGTCATACAAGGATCATTCATCTTGGATCATGTTAAGGTATGTAAGTCTTGCAAGCTCCGTAAATACTGTAAGTAAGCTCTGTAAGTATACGTGCCTATCACCAGGGACGCTACAAGTACATAGAAGTTTTATTTGTCGGCTCACCGTCAGATATGCCCCCAATGTTTGCTTTAAGTCTGGGAAGTTTTGGTAGCGGAAGGTTTGGTATTATACCTGTCCACCAAAAACATCATAATCGTTATAGCCAGCAGGCTGATATTTCATTAAATTAAGCATCTTTACAAAGATGTTTTTAAATCTCTGCGAAACATTTCCGGCCAAAAGTGCTTACAAAAGTTGTGTGATCAAAAAAAGCGCAAAAAATAAAAAGTGTCAAAATTTTGGACACTTGTTCTTCGTAAAACGGCTAATATAGAATAATATAGAATATACCACTAATGTAATTAACATAACATGATACAAGGCTAAAACTCGGTAATATCATAAAACCCTCAGCGCACCAAGCATGCCTGCTCGCGCCCATGCTGAGAAGTTATAATGTACTTACCCTACCATCATCAACGCCGTTGGGTAAGTCGGCTTCTGAAATAAGAATTTCATATATCATCCTGTGAATCAAACCAGCGACCGCAGTATTCCACCCGTGTTGGGCGGAAGCTACTTCCACTTGCGTCGTTGGTGAGGGGTAAATAGTAGGATCCCCCCCCCCCCCCCCCCCCAGTTGGCCACAAATTGAGCTGGAGCCACGAAACAAAAACATTGGACAGCTTGGCATCTAGAAGTCAACCGTGTCCAGTTTGATATACTGAGGTGAACCAGCAATCCTACGGATCAAGCCAGCTGTATTGCTAATGAACACGGAATGGAAAACGTGCAGCTTTTGGTTACATTGTGGGGTGCTTTTCACCAAAATATGCACGCATCGGTGTCCTGATTCAGATTCAGTTGGAAAGGACTGATCAGAGTCCACATACGAAAAATCATCAAAGGCTTCTCACCCTATTTTGCATTAAGCATGTCATGAAATCATCAAGTGTGCGCGTAGGACATTATTTTAACGTGTTTGTTTTTTGTTGGAGTGCGTCATTTGTTGTCACGTCTGTAGCAAAACATGATCGCTTGTAGAAAATGGCTGTGAACCTTGAGAAATTACGTCATTGCTCAGTGACCTGACACGACCTGGAGTAAACATTTTCAAGGAAACAGCGCAGTCTACACGTTACATTTTCATTTCGTTTTTCCGGACTGACGCAGGGTAACGCAACCCAAAGTTAGTCCGGAGATACACAGCAGAATTAAGGTTAACCTGGGTAATATATTAGTACAATGCGTCATATGTAATACCGAACTTAACTGTGCTGCTACTCAACGTTTGCCGTCACCCAAAAAAAATCCGCCTGGAGTTGGCACCCATCCCCCGCCCGGCAAGGATACTACAATGATATTGCCCAATGGACTGCAGTTGCTGCTGCCAATTGCAGATCGATCCACATGCAATAGCTTGCAATGCATGCGTGACACTGCCATCCAGCAACCGGCCAGTATGATCTCATGCTTAACGCACCATGCATTAGCTTGAGTTAATAGGATATCCCACTGGCAAATGTCCGAGGCATTTGGGTCAGAGCTTGTTTGCTTGTTTTAAAAAATAAGATCACGATTAGACAGGAAAATACACGAGTTAGATGAACTTATGCACAAGAGATGCCCTCCACACAACATGCCAAAATGGCATACTGAGCTAGAGTTGACGAATGGACCGCTGAATGGACGGTTCCGCGGAGTGACCAGTCAAGAGCAAGGGCAACGCGCGCCCTTAAACTTCAATCAACAACAGCAACAAGCATCATATGTGCACTAAAATCAAAATTACATCGTGCAACAAAAAACCATGTCAGACCAATGCCAGGCCATGCTTGCATACCGGAAAGGGCGTTGAACATGTGATGGAAACGCGCGCTGAAAAAGTTGATAGTGGGGGGCTCGAGACAGCAATATTCTTTCCCTGATTGCCAATTCCAGGGCGGTGAATTTCTATACTCGAAAGGACATAACTATAATATCTCACAATCCTATAAATAATGAGAACGGGAAGATCATTCTTAAGGAAGACACTCGTACAGGACATCCGTCAAGCCCACACTGTCATCCGTGAAAGTGTAGACGAGGTATGGCAGACGGCTCAACCACCCCGTGCAGCTCTAATGCATCACGATGCTTTCCGCTTCGTCCCCACACGTCCAATGCCGAGCCTGAAGCTCGCGCCCACCACCCAAAGGCCCACCTCTGCGCCGGCGCGAGAGGGAACGCTCCCTCTCCTCCCACTTGCGGTACTCCTCTTGCTCCTTCTTCTTCTTCTCAATGAGCAGCAGCTGCGCCCGCGTCGGGGGCACTCTAGGCTGCTCGGTCGTCACCACCGGCCGCCTCCTCTCTGGCGGCTTGCGTCGCTTCGGGGAGCGTCCAGTCCGTTCTGTAACGAGAGGAGCGAGCACGCGCTCAGACTGCGACCCTGGCGTGCCCGTCGATTCTGGCTCCGGCTCTGGCTCTGGCTCTGGCTCCGGCTCCGGCTCCAGCTCCGGTGCCGACGCTGGCGCCGCTTCCTGTGCCGGCTCCGGTTCAGGCTTGCACTCCGGCTCAGACTCCGGTTTTGGCTTCCGTGCCGGCTCAGGCTCATGCTTGGCCTCAAACTTCGGCTCTGGTTCCGGCTCCGGCTCCGGCTGCGGCTCCGGCTCCGGCTCCGGCTCCGGCTCCGGCTCCGGCTCCGGCTCCGGCTCCGGCTCTGGCTCCGGCTCCGGCTCCGGCTCCGGCTCCGGCTCCGGCTCCGGCTCCGGCTCCGGTTCTGGTTCCGGTTCTGGTTCCGGCTCCGGTTCTGGCTCCGCTTTCGGCACCGGTTCTGGCTCCGGTCCTGGGGCCAGTTTTGGGGCCGGCTCTGGCTCTGGCTCTGGCTCTGGCTCTGGTTTAGGTTCGGGTGGCGGTGCAGGAGACGGTTCGGGTTCAATTGTAGCTTCTGGTTCAACGACAGAGTTGGGTTCAGTAACTGGCTCGGAAGACGCAGCTTCGGGTTCGGGTTGCGGTCCGGATCTCTGTGTATCAGGTTTTGCTTCGGACAGTGGAGTTTCATCAGAATGGGAGGCTGTATCTGGGTCAGTCATCATTTCAGGATGATGTTCTATTTCGGGTTCTGACGCACGGTCCTGCTCTTGTCTTGGCTCAGACGGCACGGTCTCGCCCGCGTCCGCCGACACCGTCTCCCGCCCGGTCGCCGGCTCGCTCCCCAGTTCCGCTGTGTCTACCATCTCCTGCTCCACCGCAGCGCTCGTCTGCTTCTCCTCCTCCTCCGGCGGCGGCGGCGGCCCGTGCATGCCCTCGGGCGATGACAGGTCCTCGGGCACCTCGGGGCTGGCGGTGCGCTCCGAGCCGACCACCGACACGGCCTCCTCCGAGTGGACCGACGGTGGTCGCGATGAGAGCGCAGACTCGGGCCGCACCTCGTCCGCCGCCGCTGCCGCCGAGCTCGTCGGCTCCGGTGCGTCGGCCGACTCCTCCGGCGGTGCCTCGTCGGCGTCGGCAGCGCCGCCGCGGGCCGGCATCAGTTTCGCGGGGAGACGTCACGCGCGCCACGCGCTCACCTGTCGCTAACGTCGTCACGTCGCAGACAAGCTCGGCTGTCACTTGACTTCGATTTCGGTTAAGATTTCACTCACGCACCTCCATTCACGTTGGTATCTTCACAGATTTATAAAGTTCGGCGCACTTGGGGCTGTTTACAGGCAGGGTCATGCTTGGAGGGTCACGACTGTGATGTCACAGTGATGTCACGATTGGAGGCCCCAGTCTGCACGTCACGCAGCCGACTGGGGGCGCCAATCAAACTATTCTACGTCATTCCACCAGACCCGAAGGGAACGGCAGATGGTGTGTTCAACGGGATTTAGCTATGGCTCGCTCGTTCGGTCGCTTTGGCTATGGCTCGCAGAGATGTAAAATTGGACTTCGAAGCTGCGTGGGATGGGAAAAGTTACAGCACGATGATCATCGACGCAAAAATTGGTGGAATACTTGCCCTTCGGTAGAATCTGAATCGAGTACAAATTAGGAGAAGGCATACACAGTATTTTAAGCATCGGTGTTTTGGCGGTTCGTGAGATTTTGAAAAGGGAGTATGAGGTGATGCTTGATATAATCATCAATTTTCTGAGGCCGTGAAGTGGGTGGAGATACTTGATATTGCACATTATTTTCCTTGGAAAGAACCACCCACATATCAATGAATTAGGCAGCGGAACGGAGAAGATAGGAGCAGACTGTTCGTAACGTCAATTAATCACTTCAGTAGCTTCGTTTGTATTGTCAACGGTCCCAGAGACTCGGGCTCCATGGTTGCCGTGCAACTGACCTAAAGTGCCCGCTCGACCTCAAAGTCAGCAGGATTGCCATCGCCCCTGGATTGCCATCGCCCCTGGATCCCCGCCATCGCGACGCGAGTCGGTCCACGGGTCCCTGTTTGACTAGGGCTTTGCGCACGGGGTGCGTGCCGGCATAGCCGAGGACGTGTGCCGAACTGATCACCAGGTCCGTGCCGGCAGACCCGGACAGGCTCGGCAGAGGCTCGGAGACCGATCGTTACACCCCGGACAGGTGGGGGGGGGGGGGGGGGGGGGGACGTCGACCACTGTCGCACGCTGCGGTGTCGCAGGCGCTGCAGGGATGTCGGCGGGACGGTTGGCTAACGGAAACCATCAGACGGCGCACGCGATATTTTTCACACGCATGTGGAATGGCGTTCGATCGAGAAAAGCAGGCGAAAGGAGCATCTACACGGGTGCGTCGGAGAATGGGTCGCCCTGTTTCATGAGCATATGTCTAGGCCCAAGTTCGTGATGAATGGGAGTTTCAGGTCTTTCTTAGGGTAGTCTAGACGTATGGACAAGAAAATATTCAAGATTCTGGCTTTCTTCATTTACTTAGCATTGCCACTATTTCTGGAAGGCTTTTAAAGGTAATGTATGCACAAATTCGGAGCATTTCCATAGTTTACATGTCTTGGTTTCAAGTATAATTGTTGGCCTCACCTTACTGAATCTTTACACCCGCGGTCATAAGTGTAGCTAGAAACCTCGAGTACTTCCTAGCATATTGAAGTCCGATAACTCAGCATAAGAACTCTCAACTCATAATACCAATCAAAACAAGGAGCCGAAGATCTGTCCCGGTTATATCGAAAATAGCCAACCTTCAGTATACCGGGAGGCACTGGCCAAACGACGGCATAAAGCAGTCATTGGCACACATCATCAGAACACACAACGTTCCACGCAGTGCTCATAGCCCCTCGTGGCCCTAACCACCAGTACCCACGATGTAACGAGTAACGCCTGAAGCACTTCTATCAAACTCTGATCTATATAGTCACATAATGTACCACGATGATCGCTGTGCGTCATCGTTTTGACGGCACCTCCCATTATATTGAATGTTGGTTATTCTGAGCACAAGGACTCATTGTGCTTTGGGGACAGCGTATAATAAAAGGGGGCCAAATAAATGTAGTACTAAAAAATGTCGCAACACAGGAAGAAAGAATTTATCCGTAGATCTAATCCGTAGATTAAATCATAATATGTGCAGGTACATTGCATGACTAATTACTAGAAGAAGCAGTTGTGCCCGGATCGTTCCAGCACAGATTAACTGAAATTTGAGGGCGCAGTTTGCACTCTAGAATTGATGACACAATCCTAAATGTGTGCCTAAGTGGCGTGTGGCGAGCGTCCCGCAACATTTTGGCACAATTTGCACCGTGTTCAAGTATATTGTCTTGGAGAAATGATGGCTTGCATAAAAGTCATATTTACATGCTGAGTTACAGCTGAAAGGAAATCGATAACGTATACTTTTTTATTTGAGAGCGTGTCATGATAGCAATGTTTTTAGGCTGCATTGGTCAAGCGCCCTATGTTTGTTAGAAATCCGTCTGACGAAGTGAGGCTGAACCTAAGCGTGTCATCAGACTGATGTAAAATTGACAAAAGTAGCCGCGAAAGAGGAACCCAATGCTATGCGCTATGAAGTAAGTTGCAATTAGTGACATAAACACCCAAGTACATAAAGGACCTCTTGCACAGTAGCCAAGCGAGGGTTCTCCTGCACGCATAAGGAGACAACGCGTTTCCCTCTCATACAAGCACCACACTCTGCAACACCTGATCCTGCGCTGTCCACTCGGTTGAGCACTAAGGTCACTTGTGCCCGCGCGACGTCTCAGGTTACGGGCTGCCCGGCCGGTGGCCGCCCGAACACTGCCCAAGGGCATCTGGCGGCTGGCCGATGCACCCCACCCCCCTCCCCCGGATGGTGACGTCACGCGCGGTCAATAGCCCTAGGGCATCGGTAAATGAGCCGCATCGAACTCGTTACGGTACTGGTGCTGGGTACCTAGGTCGGTTGTGAGGTGGCTTGTAAGATGTTTGGGTGACAAACGGCAGGCTCGCTGTGTCTTACCGCGACGGTCGGTATCGGGGATGAACGCTGCACTGATTTCTAAACCGAATTGCACTTTGTATGCGATCGACTAGCAAAACATTGTAGATGGGTTATACAAAGACAGCCAGGTCCTACAGTGCATCATGTACATACCAACAACCAATCTGTATGGTCAAACTTTGAATTGGGTTTCCCAACAAAAAATGGCGACAAATTTAAATCCGTCTGGGACAAATTAATTCTCATCGGCAGAACCTGTGCATGTAACGTCTTACATTGTACTCCTTTGGAAATATTTGGACTCGCATAATGGATATCGCTGTTCGAATCGGGATCAAATACGTAGTTGTGGTAAAGATTTCAGGCTTTCCGGCCCAGCGTTTCGTTAGGTGAACATGGATAGCGTGAGCTGCACAAATATTTTTCACGACGGATTACGGTGCAATTTAAAAAAAAAATTAAACGTTTCTTTTGTAACTACATTCCCTTCATCACTGATTTTCGGCTAGAAATGATTCACAGAAATTATATTTTTTGTCCAACACCTTCGACCGACTCACATTGCTGATTGTCAGGCCTAGTATTGTTCCATAACTTGGGTGAGCTAAAAACGTGGGCGGATGAAGAGATGTCTATACATGGTCTCGGATAATGTAGAGATCTAATCCTTAGTTGGATACACGTGATTTACCTATTGCATGTCAAAGTAATCACATGCAAACAATGTTTTCCTTTTGGTGTTTAGTGTATACTGAAATTTCAAAGCAGAAAAAACTTGAAAAACTGTTCTGTGCATAAGTTCATTGTCAAAATGGTTAATATAAATCACCTTTAAATATTACGCACACCATTTGCTATTAGATACGATACTGCTTAATGCGTCATGAAGTGGACCTTTACTGTAAAGAAACATTCGCTGTCTTGGTCACTGCAATAAACCTTCACTCAGGATGCTGTAAAAGTTTATGGTGAGAGTTAAGGTTAAGCCTAGATATGCATTTGCAGATCAGATGTGACCAAAAGGACGTACCGTGACCTAATTTTCAGGAATTAAGTAGGCTGCAACTAGCTATCGGCATTAACGCAGCCAAAATGACGTTTAACCACTACACCACTGAATCGCTGTGTGTCTACACTTCAGGGTGCGTGGCCAATGGTCAGAGACCTTGTACTCGTACCGTCGTCCCCACTAAGCCCTTTCCATGGATTGTGCTTTCACAAGCACAATGTTGCACAAAATGCGCGCATTTCGTAGCAGCGGTACACTCTCATTTATGAGACACGCGCTGTTAAAATTGAAAGCCTCTATGTCACATTTCACCGTGCATTCAGTTTCTGTCCACTAAAAAGCACAGTCTCTGTCTACTAAAAAGCAACAGTGCTGTTGCTAGACAGGTCAGAAACCGAGCCCATATCTTTTACAAGCACCATCGCACTGATGAGCAATATGCATCCTTCAGTGTGCTACCAGACAAGCACGCCTGGGGCGTCAGCTGACTGACCCCGGTCCCTGACCCGCACGAAGCCGCGCGGCGTCTGCCACGCGCGGTCTGGCTGTGCTGCCACGACACCCGAGCCACGCCTCCTGCATAATGCAGTAGCCGTCGGCAGACGACACACAAACAGCGCGCGCGGCCGGCAGTCTGGCGACATTCTCACCACGCCGGGGGCGTGGGAGCCGGCCGCGTGACGTCACCGGTATGGACAGTACGGGACCGGCTGGCAACGTCGACCGGCGCGTCACGCTCCGCCACGGAGCGACGCTGGCACAGTGTCGGCTATCGCCTGGGAAGCGCCTGGTGGCCGGGGTAAGGTTGTTGTTGTTCATTGGAGTTTTCGGGCGCGTCGACTGCAGTGGTCATTTTGCGCCCATAACTATGCTATTACTTAATTAGTACGGTGTGAAAATGACTTGAAAATCAATATCTTTTAAAAACGAAAAGAGCTGTTTGGGACCAAGAAAGGAGGAACTGTCACCAAGCACATCGTTTATCGTCAGGGTCGAAGCCTGTGAACCAAAGTGACGTCGTCGTTCTTCGAAGAGGCATGGACATGATATAATGACATGATGGACAGTCAGGACGGCACCACACCGCTGGCATAGGGG